TTTACTGCGGCAGCAAAAATTTACGCTCACTGCAGAAAAACTTTTCCATTTCGACGTATAGCAAAAGCTTATCCGCTAAATCAGCCAAGTACATCACTTTCTTTCTAGGTCGTAGATCCAAAATCGCTCATTCGAATGAAAATTGGCGAGGTAAATCCATCGATCTCACAAATATGTAAATATGTACTTAAACGAAGTTATATAGGATGTAAGTTGGCGAGAATGTTGAAGCGAAAGAATTCAGTGTAAGATTTTTCGTTAAATTGTTTTCATGTATAGACAATATAATAAAATTTCTGGTACATTGCATATTAACGTTGTTAATAACGGTATAATTCTTTTTTACGCAATCACGAATACATGTTATGCGTATTTTGACCAAGCGAATTACTATTGAAAGCATATGATCGTGAGTGAGAATTTATGAGAGAAATTATGAATATCTAAATCTCTGATTTTCGAATGAAGAAAGCAATTTCAACGATAATTTACGCTTTATATGAAGAATTGATTTGCTTTATTATTACATTGATATGGCATTGTTGAAACTTTTACAATAACAATTTTTTATACATTATTGTCCGCAAAAGTGAACAAATCAGAGATCTAGATGTTTTATATTTTCATTGTAAATGTCGTATCGTCGCGTGCAGTCAGTCGTATGTAACGGAAAATCCGTGTGTCATGTAAAAAAATTCATAGAGAGAGAGAGAGAGAGAGAGAGAGAGAGAGAGAGTTAAAAAAAAAAAGAGATAAGTATTAAATGGCGTATAAAAAGTCGATGATTCGCGTAGATAACGTAAAGCAAAGGGACAAACAAGTCCGTATATAATCGTTAATGTACCAATATCAGCATAAATATTATCGCGTACCGCGTACCCCGAACGTATTATGGATAATAATTGTATTCGCATTTACTGTCAATCTAACTACAGCCTAGTCAGTGTGCAAAACAAAAAGTTAATGAAGAAAAAGCATAAACTTTAACATGTCATCGGACGATCGCACCATAGTCAGGTAAAAAAACGATGAAACATGAGAAGAAGACAGAAGATTACTGATTATAAGTTAGCGACACTTCGATAAATAAATGCTGTATCGTTTAACAAATTTCTGCGTCAGAACATTTCTATTTCCTAACATTTGTATTATTCATACTATTTCTTTAAATTTACTTATACTTTTTTTTTTATACATGTACAGATTATTTTTCAATGCATATATATATATATATATATATATATATATATATATATTTGAACTTATTAATAAAAATTAAACACTTCATTTAACAAACGCAACTGTAAAATAAGATACTATAATTATAATAAATAATAAAATAATAAAATGTGCTTAAAGTATTTGTAAAATTCTATCAATATAGAAAAGTTTAAATAAAAGATGGATCTCAATATGTTTTAATTATTAAAAACCAAACAATAGAAATTTATCTAGATCTGCCATTTTCATCAAACTTTAATTTTTCAATGCGAACCACAAAGTTTAATTAAAATGTATGAACAAAGTTTTAAGTTTTATACTTTTATGTTATATACTTAGCATTTACTACAATCTTATTTGGTATTACCGATTAATTTGGATTCTTTTAATAATGACATTTTCGCTACTAATATGCCCACTTAAACTAAAGCTACATTACTTTTGCTAGAGAGGAAATGAGTTTCAGAAGAATTTTTTTATCTTACTGGCAAATTTTCCTCCGAGAATTCTTTTAAATTAATTTCGGCTTCTTATAGAATTAATTACTTTTTATATAGGAATAATTACTTTTCAAGTATCAATTATTATGATGCAACTTCAAATCTAAATGAACTTGTATGCTTTTTCAAACTACAAAAGAGACTCGATGATATACTTAATCTATTAAGAATGATTAATAATAAGCAAACGTTTGAATTATAATATCATTAAAAGACACAATATGCAATATAATGAAGAAACAAAAGGACTTTGGGCTTGAGCATTGATTTGGCTTAATTTCCCATAGCTATCCTGCGTAATTCTAAGTTAAGTTTGCGCTCGCGACTCATATACTTTCGCCGACAAGTGTAGTTTATCAAGAGCAGCCTGGCGTCGGCGTTGCCGTCTTGGTGAACCGTCTCACACCCATCCGAACTGCATTGTACGGCCAGCGGAGTAAGTTCAACGATGCTGAATGAAAAGGTGAGCTTTGCAGCCAAAAACTTTTGCCCAAAGCGTTGAGAGAAACGTCTGTCGGCTGCTTTAACCGGCATGGGTGAATTTTCCGACGCGTGTACTTTCTTTACTCGAGCCTGCCCAATCCAATTGCTTTCCTCAACTGCTTTCCTTCGCACTACTTTTATGAAGCGCGCGCATCCTAGTATTTATGTGGGATTCATTTTCTGTTTAATATATATATATGATAAGGTATATAAAAAAAAGAAAAGAAAAGAAAAGAAAAAAAATGATGATAATCTATTAGCTCGAATATTGCTAGTCAGTTTTCAGGAATGTAAAGCCCACTGAAGAAATATTCAAACATCAGACGTTGAAAAATCTTTTAAGAACCTTGTAACATTGAATTTTCGAATATCATTCGGCAAAAGTCAATAGACGCATTCTCTTTCGCCTTATATTTCAATCCATCGGCATTTGAATAACAAATGAGTACAAAGTAAATTCTTTGAATTTAGTTGCCCTCTATTCGTTAAAAGTTAACTATTTTTAATAAATAAATTTTTATATTTTAATATTGAAAATGATATTTTAATGAGAAAGGGAGTCGAAAGAAAGTTTCGTTATTGCACTCTGCTGGGAAAAGAAATCAGTGCTTTAGCTTTGTTTTGATACTCACTTTTCGACCAAATTATCGGTGCTATTTCATCTATTTATTATTTATCGTATTCTTTAGTAACAATTATAACGCAAAGTCAGACATATAAGCTACGTGAAAGACAAAGAAACATAAAGTGTTAGAATAATTGGTTGAACGAATCGAATATCGTGTCTAATAAGCATAAGAAATACGATTTTTATCTTCAAAACATATGTCGCCTATTAAAATTATGCACAAACACAAGTATATAAAGGATCGTGTGTATCCTTAATTGTATGTTTTGTACGTATGACAAGTAATTATTAATGAGAGTATGACATGTCTAACTCTATAAGACATTTATGAATCTATATAGATTATGTAATTTACAAAATTTTGAAATACGTTATAAAATTTCAAGACCTTATATCAAAATGATTAAATTTAATTGAATTGAATTATAACAATATTTTATCAATATATCACGAATATAAATATTAATATAAATAGAGAATCAATTGTATATGCCAAAAAATTAATTTAATTTATCCGATTTATTAATTTAAAGCGTAATACAAATTAACAAAATTTCCTATAGAACGTAGCATTCGAGATATTTTAAAAGAAAAATTTAGCTTCAAATCAGATTTTTTTTATATCTTCCATCAAAAATCACGAGAAAGGTTAAAAGAAAAAGTATAAGCGAGCTTGAAAACCTTCAAACTGGAACAGAAAGATGAGAAGAAGTTCCTCGACATCTTTCGACTCCATACAGAAGTAAAATCACAGTCGACGCGTGAAAGGTGAAATGAGATGAGAAGAAACGAAGTGAGAGGGAGAGAGATAGAGAGAGAGAGAGAGAGAGAGAGAGAGAGAGAGAGAAGAAAAGAGAGAAGCAGAGAAAAGCAAGCACCATTATTACGCGCATCAAGCACAAAATATACGGAAACTTTGCAGCAAGAGCATCGGCATCAGCGCAAGCTTTAGCCCAAAGCAGACGTGAGTTTCCATTCGGGAAATTCACGGGCTACACACTGCCTTCGTATGTAAACAAATAATGCGTGTAAGGTAACACAAGCAGAGATGCTCGTTGACATTTGCATATTCAAAGTGAAAGAGAAACGATGAGAGACAGAAACTTCAAAGAATTTTGTCCAAAGCAACAAGGAAAGTGAAATACTAACACTTACCAAGAACCGCACAAACACATGAATACTAATTCACGATGATTACATGACGCATGTATGTTGTATTCGTATTTTTATAAGTGTGCGTCTGAGCGTGCACGCACAAGTAGTGCGAGAGTGTGAGAGTATCATACGGAACAGAAAGTACCCGAGTTGGTGTCATATCCGCACCCTTTCGTCGGAAAATATTGTAAAGCTTCTACATACATGGTGAGAAACTTTTACATGCAAACAAGCGCGGCCTTACTTACACTTGCAAACAAAGAAATACATACAACTCAAGCAGAAGCCCTCGTACGTACATACTTGCAAACACAAAGGAATATTTGCGTTTCCTCGGAAGGCGGGGAAGTAGTCGACAGTTTGTTCGCGGCAGATAATTTACCAACCAGCAGTTGTAACGACGTAATTGCCATTCTCGTTCCGAATTTAGTAAAAAAGCAGCCGCGCGAAGATAATTATTACACGCGCGCGCAAATGCCTAAATAAATATGCGCCACGCCAAATACACTCGATTACCTTTACATTAAAATCTTCTCTCCCTTACTTGATCTTTTATCTATCCATTTCTTATTATCTCCAGCGATATTGTTCCATCCTACTTGGGTGAAAGGATATTCCACTGCATTCGAATGGTGGCGATTTTCTTTTGCCTTCTGCTTCTTCGAGGACTCCAGCGTTGAACAGGGGACTTCCTCCGTGACCAAAGAAAAGGCGGCATTTCGCTTCAGTGATATAGTGAAAAAATAATGCGGGATATTTCTTTTACGAGTCTTTCTATGGCATTTTAAATAACCCGACGTTAAGTTTTAAATTGGTGAAAAAGGATTTTACATAAAGTAGAAATTCTTTCAAGGAATGTATTGTTGATTATATCGATTTAAATGAATTGCAAAAATGAGATTATACATATATATATATATATATATATATATATATATGTATACAGTATATATATATATATATATATGTATACAATTTAAAATGCTATTAATTCACAACTTATGGAAATTGTATTAATCTCCCTAAAATTTAAATTGTATAATCTTTATGAATAACATTTGGAAAAGCTTTGTTATTATATCAAACAGTTAGGAATAATTGTTTAATCTAAAATTAATGATAAAATTACGGTGAATTAAAAAATGTTAATATATGCTAATGAAGTCGCTGCTTCATTGCTTATACATTGAAAATTTGAAACTTACGTATGTGTGTATGTATATATGTAAGTATGAATAAATTGTACATTGAGATTTTTCCAATAATAATTAACGTAATTCATTGGATTTGAGGCATCATCGATGCAATTAGTAGACTATATTTTTCTTAATTTTCAATTAAACTATTTTATGGCTTTGTATTAATATAATTTACCTAAAGCATTTGGCACAAAGTTAATCATAAAATTAGTACTTTGTACTTCGCTGCTATTAACGATTTATATCGGAAATTAAAAGAAGCTTAAATAAAATAAAAGACTATTTAACACTTCGGTAAATAGCTGATGTTCTGTTGCTTATATTCACTATTATATAATGATATACATAGCCCTGTTAAGTACACATAAACGTTTAAGAATATTTCTTAATTTCTTACTTGTTATTGATAAATATCGAACGCAAATAATATTTGCATTGTTCTTCTAAAATAAAATTAAAATTAATAAATAAAATACAGTTTGTATGATAAAACTAAAATGTATGCGTGAAATTGCGTGAAAATGTCAATAGTTGGATTACCATAAGGAGCAATTAGATTTAAATCAATCGCGTAAGAAAATTACGCGTATAATAATTGCGTAATGAGTGTACCACGCTATTTAGTGTGAAACGCTTTGCGAGCTCACTCACACTAAACAAAGAACATTTCTTTTATGTCACTGCATACCCATTAAAATACGTCGCCACTTCTAGTGGGGTGTGCCCATCTGTCAAGCTCGTCGTCCCACTGTCGACATGTCGTCGGTACTACTACTGCTACTGCTGCTGCTGCTGCTGCTGCTGCTGCTGCTGCTGCTGCTGCTGCTGCTGCTGCTGCTGCTGCTGCTGCTGCTGCTGCTGCTGCTGCTGCTGCTGCTGCTGCTGCTGCTGCTGCTGCTGCTGCTGCTGCTGCTGCTGCTGCTGCTGCTGCTGCTGCTGCTGCTGCTGCTGCTGCTGCTGCTGCTGCTGCTGCTGCTGCTGCTGCTGCTGCTGCTGCTGCTGCTGCTGCTGCTGCTGCTGCTGCTGCTGCTGCTGCTGCTGCTGCTGCTGCTGCTGCTGCTGCTGCTGCTGCTGCTGCTGCTGCTGCTGCTGCTGCTGCTGCTGCTGCTGCTGCTGCTGCTGCTGCTGCTGCTGCTGCTGCTGCTGCTGCTGCTGCTGCTGCTGCTGCTGCTGCTGCTGCTGCTGCTGCTGCTGCTGCTGCTGCTGCTGCTGCTGCTGCTGCTGCTGCTGCTGCTGCTGCTGCTGCTGCTGCTGCTGCTGCTGCTGCTGCTGCTGCTGCTGCTGCTGCTGCTGCTGCTGCTGCTGCTGCTGCTGCTGCTGCTGCTGCTGCTGCTGCTGCTGCTGCTGCTGCTGCTGCTGCTGCTGCTGCTGCTGCTGCTGCTGCTGCTGCTGCTGCTGCTGCTGCTGCTGCTGCTGCTGCTGCTGCTGCTGCTGCTGCTGCTGCTGCTGCTGCTGCTGCTGCTGCTGCTGCTGCTGCTGCTGCTGCTGCTGCTGCTGCTGCTGCTGCTGCTGCTGCTGCTGCTGCTGCTGCTGCTGCTGCTGCTGCTGCTGCTGCGCACGGTAACAAGTAGTGTAAGTACCAATGCTGTCAGACACGAGTGCCCCAACATCGGCACTCTCACCCGTGTATGTAGGCCACGTGCTTTGGACATCTGTTCTGAATATATGCGAATACGTAAATGGAAGAAGTACGCATTTTAATGAAATACAATGCGCTTTTAAATTGCCAAGCCCGCAGTTTAATCTCGTTATTAATTATTCTAAGAGAGCTAATCTATTGAATGGTGAAATACATGACATGATAAAATTATCTTTGTATGCGTGTATTTACAGGGAAACGTGAATAGTGAATGTCTGAGCTATTAAACGGCATGAATATAAAGGACTTATGACGCAAGCAATTATAGAGTAAGCTGATTTCTTACAATGCATATCAACCAAGTCTGATATGATAAAAAGCTGTTAAAAATATTATTGAAGCAGCTATTTGTGCATTTGAAAATTTGCAAATTGAGCATTCTATTAACAACATTGAGACAACAAGGATTGTTGATTACACCGTTGAACGTATGTGCATAAGTAAATACGCATACATCTTTGTATTTAAATAGGTCTATCTGCTTATTTATATAAACACACATTAAAACTACGATGATAAATAGTAATTGATCCTTTTATTTCACAATACTGACGATAAGTAAGGTCATTTATGAAGACTGTACCATTGTAAATCATTGTAAACGATAATGAAATCATCGTAAAACTGGGATTCGATAATACGATATAACGTTATAAATAAAAAATTTCCAAGATAGTATATCATAATGAAATGCATGTAAATTATAAATAATATACATTAACTCATATAAATACGTAGTCTCGCACAGCCAATCATTAAATATATTAATACATTTAGATTTAATTATCATTTACCACGTTACTCCCAATATACTAAAAGTAATAATAACAAATAAATACTAAAGAAGAGAACAAGAATTGATCGAAAGATTATTTTTTATCCATAATGCATTTAGAAAAGAGAGCAAATTCAAATGAATAATTATTTCGATTCATGTATGGGAAAAACGCCGATTTGTTACGCTAATTCGTAATTAATTAATGATTAAAGGGTGAAAGAAGTAGTTTTTAATTTAGATTACATTAGTTACATTAAGCAGACTCAAATTAAAATTTTCTATAATGAAAATTTTTTAAGTGCTTTTCCTCGAAATTTATCTCTATGTCACATTCAAAATAATGCATTCGAAGCACAAAATTAGTTAATCTATCGATCCAATTGAAATAATACTTTCACCAATATTAAGAAATGGGATTTTTCATAAAGAAAAGATTTTTTTATAAAATTAGCATTTCTTCATTAATGTCAAACCTTTTTAAGAAAATATGTTTCTTCTTAAAATAAACGATTCAGCGATAGTAAAAATATACATTGAGGTAAAGAAAAGACTTTGAAATTCAAGTTTCGATCAATTTCGTAGAATAATTACAAACTCTATATTTTTTCCCAATTTAATAATTCGTTAGTGAGATGCTTCGGATAATCATTTAATAAGCCACTGATTTTTGCAAATATTTAGCATGCAAATACACTTATATTGAATAGGCATTTATAAAATAATCGGCCAAAGCTTTAATTACTTCTCAGGCTAATAAAATTATATTACATTAAGTGGACTATTAAGCTATAAATTAATCGAAAGCTAATGACAGAATTCTTAAATTATAAACTAAATTTCTTGAACATAATGTGCAAAATAAATTATTCGAAAAATCGTGGAAATTAGTATAAAATCAATTGTAACATAATTTATCAATTACTTCTCAAATAACAATTCTGTTATTTATATTGAAATCAATAATGTATATGATATCGGAATTAAAAGGAAGGATAAAACTTAAAAGAATCTTTCGGATTCTAATGCTCATATAAATAAGCGCTTAATTTAATATCAAAATTCTTATTAATTTTGTTTATTCATATAATTTTTATTATAGAAATTATTATGAACAATTATCATGAAACATAATAAAAAACTATATAACATTTTTTGCAAATTAAGTAATTGTAATTTGTTTAGTGACTATAATGACTTTTTCTTTCCATTTGTATGATCCATTGATATATATTATTTTAATAATTATAATTTAATTAGAAATTTTATATATTTTCGATAATATATCGTATTTAAACGTATTTTGTTTATACGATTGATATTGAAAACTCAAATTGATAGTGATGCATGATTTTTAAAATGAAGTTTTTAATTACTTTCGTAATTTATCTTATTAAGCAAGTATTCTTAACGCCTGAAAAATCATATATAATAAAAACATTAAAATTGTGTATTTTTTTCAAATATATGATCAATTAAAAAAAATTTGAACAAAATGTGAATACTCTTTAATGTAATTTGGATAACAAAGTTTCAAAATTTTTCATATTATACATACAAACATACAAATATAAATGTAAGCTTATTTTTATTTCGCTGCAAAATCAAGATATATTTATCCTTTTCTATCTTATGGTATCTTCCACTATAGATAGTACTATCCTATAATAAAATAAAACTATCCACTATAATAAAATAGAATGTCTGTTTAATAGTAATTTTAATCATTAAAGTCATTAATTACATTAATCCTCTTTAATATAGGTGAATAGTCAAAATTGGTCGTGACATTATTAAATTAAAGAATCAATCATATTTTTTTAATGCGATGAAAGCTTGAATTTTCAATAGGAACATAAAAGGTAAAGAGAAAAAAAGGAAACATTGAAAAATTGCTATACGACTGCCCCAGTTTTAGTCAGTTATAACTCAATAGAATAATGATTCGAATATAGGCGATATTATATATATATATATATATATATATATATATATATATATATATATATATATATATATATATTCGATAAGACTTTCTTTAAAAAAAAATTTATATACCATGAGAATAATTTTCTGCGACGCTTACAACGAGTTAAAAATAGTAGTGGAATAAGACAAACTGACTTTTCTTAATATTAACCAAGTTACAATTGGTATTTTACGAAAAGTTAAGTGAAGAAATTTTTCACTTATTGAAATAAATGACATTGCTTTAGCGATTCATAAAATAGCGTATTTATATATAGTGACGATACATAAAATTAAATAACAATATTTCACTATAAAATTCATTGTATAAGCTCCCTAAGAAGCAAAACTATAAATCTTTCCTTATCAAGCTTTATTCTCATTTGGTCTAAAAATGAAAAGGCAATACGATATTTAAACAATTTAGATAATAAAGATATTAAATTAAAATTGTATATTAATAAAGTGTATAAGGATGAACAAACTTTCTGATCACGTATGTAATAACAGTATATTACGTAAAACTATGGCTTAACCACAATTTAATTTGATAGTTTTAATATTCAAATTTACTAACTCATTTTACATAAATACAAAAATTAATGTAATATATGTATAATAATAATAATAATAATAATAATAGTAATAGTAATAGTAATAATAATAATAATAATAATAATAAGAAGAAGAAGAATAATAATAATAATAATAATAGTAATAATAATAATAATAATAATAATAGTAATAGTAATAATAATGGTTAATTTATTAAATGAAAAAGAATATCCAATTTCACCCATTGCCTGAGTTTGTACTACATTGTAAATTTTGCAAGTAATTGCCAGTAAAAAGTAAGCCTTTAAATTTACAATGATTTATTCGAAAAAAGATTCAACATAATAATTTTATGAAAGTATTGCTTAATAAAATTGAGAGTGATTGTTGAATCAATTTAGAATTATGTTATGATTGAAATATTTTACTCACATATTTTACAAAAATATACAACTAATTTGAATGAAAAATTTACAGAAACGTCTAATTTATTAAGATCAATTCAATTACCACTATTAAATTACCTCGATTTATTTATATGAAAAATTTGATAGAAAAATCAAAAACATAGACGTATAAATAGACTTACAGAAATCCTTAGAATACTCGTTCAGCTACAAGATAATTCACTACAGTACGAGATTTACATAAAATAGTAGCTGTCGCCATCTATTTAGAAAGATTAATCGTATATTGTACGACTAAATATTTCTCTAGCTGATACCTAAAATGTACATTGTATATTTAATCAAACTTAAGTGATTAAATCATTGTTGAACATGACATTGACAGAGGGACAGACAAAGGACAGAATGGAGAAAGAAAGTAAAGAGTAAAGCCGAATGGGGAATGATAATTTTTTTTATTCCCATTAGGATATAATATTTATCGATTGTTACAATTCTCGGCAACTAATGATCCTTCGATATCAATGTTTTCCAGAATCATTATAATCAACTGAGATGAACGTATTATTGAACCTCACTGTATTACTAACATGAGAGTTGTATAAATATATTTTCAAAAAATCAATATTAATAAACGATCGATTATGTTCCCACATAATCCTCCTTAA